GGGGGGGGGGGGGGGGGGGGGGGATTGCCATCGTGCAACATGGCGCCCCGTTAAGACTGGCAAGATAGGTGACAAGATAGCTGCCTGCGTATACAGAAGTGCTTAAACCATTAAAAGATATAACGATGCTGTAGCTGCGTAGATTAAGTGAAAGAAATGCAAGAGAAAGAAGAACCGTCCGAAATGATAAATTGTGAGGAGGCCAGCAGTACTAGTATACTTACCGTATATGTCGATGTGAACGTTTACAAACTTCCTGTGTTTCATTCCAATTCTGTATACGCAGGCAGGCGTTACTTGTACTGAGGGAAGAGTGGATTCAATAGTGCGGCTTCCTAGGTCACCATTTTGCAGTCTACATATCCTCAGATTATGAGAACTAAACTTGAATAAGAGGGAAAACAGACGAGAGGCGGATATTCGATTTGTTCTTGCCAAGCGAGGAAGTAGGTAGAATTCGAACAAAACCTAAGGTAATCAGTAGTGTAGAGAGAAAAGAATAAGCAGGAGTTTTTCATGAAAATTGTGGCGGATGTAAAAAAAGGTCCCGAAATCTTATAAATCGTACCAAAAATACACCAAATTATTCGTTCATTATTGTCTAACAAAGATTGTTCCTTCGGTTACTGCTTTGTTTATTAAAAAAACTGGACACTGTGGTTTTCTTCTGCTTGTTTTACCTGAGAAATGTTAAGCCAGTTTTCAAGTCGAAAACTGGAAATCGTTTAGGCAAATGCCTGCCCTTTCCGTTTTTCACTAATTCTGTGATTCACTGGTTACAGTGATTTGAAATTTGATAGCCATATTCAGCACTTTTTCTAATTCATGTGATTTAGATCCATTACTGTTTTAAGAAGCGAAAAAAATTCTAGTGACATTTTTCATGATAATATGTTATTGTTAGTGGTTGGAAAAGTTGAAAACTTGGATTCAGAGATTTGCATGTATGGTGTGCGTCCACCATCTGAATCATTGCTTGAGAGTTTTTTTAAAAATACCGTCTGAAATTTTTGTAGTTGCTGGGTGACACAGTGTTTTGCTGATTTATATCATCACTTTGATATTGACTGTAGCACTTTGCCTGTGTTTCAGTGGATGCTGACGGACGGAGAGACCAATCTTTATTCATATGCAGCTACCGCTGTGTCACCTTCAGCCTCCTTCTAGATAGTTTCGCTTGGTTGCTCTAGACCTAAAGGAGTCATTACTAGTATGACAAAATAGGCCACCTAAACTGATAGAATTTGTGTCCCAGCATCACTGGAATGTGTTTCTGTGCTCATCTCTTGGGAAGCGGTTGTTGTTTTCAGATGCTTCCCTCAAAAAAGTGGGATCTGGTGCTGCAACGGAATATGGAGGTTGCAGTAGTGATGTATTCTCAGACAGTTACCAGCCGCATGTTTTGGCAGCGGGCGGCGGCAGTGCAGCTTGGATGGATGCCACTGCATCTGGGAGTTGTAGTACTGCTGAGATGGAGTCGACAAAATGGAAATTGAATAGTACTGCTAGGAAAGACCGGGGCAACGACGAGTCGTTCATGTGTCCGCTTTGCGACTTCACCACCATTTATAAGGTTCACACTTGCTTCTGTTTGTTAGTCGTCCAAATCATTCAGCTGACTGCTCGATATATTCGAGTTCGAGAATACACCGATTTAAGAATCTCAAAGTTATCCCGTTCGAGTGGTTTGCTGGGAAGATAAGTTGTTTCGTCGGACTAGAGTGTACTTTGTATTGTGCGCTTGGCGGACACTTTCTGACTTCTGCAGATATCAGCTCATATTTTCGCATTGAGTAAATGCACTTCCGTTAACTTTTAAAAGAGAACAAGTTCAGTGCAGTGATTTGATTGATTGGGTAGCTATACCTAGATGGTTGTGCGCGCCAGCTTCTTAAGTGAGGTGAATTGGAATTTTGGTGTTGAAAATGCATATCATTACAGGGGAATATGAAAAGGCATTTGAATACTTGTCATGGTTTGCAAGATGATGATCTCAAGGATGGCTGTATTGACAGGCTCAAATGCAAGGAAATTATGGAAACACGGACAGAAGGTATGTCTCGGGGAAGACGACCGAAAAATATGCAGGTAATTTGTTGAGAAAAAAACGACAAGACAGCAACTGCTGACATAAATGATGACGAAGGGAGGTCCGTCCTGAATGAATTGTTGTAGTGAGGATAAGGCAGATGGAAAAAATTGGAGAAAAATATTAGCTGCATTGCTGAGAAGGAACAGTTTAATTTGATTCAACCAGGAGTCTAAATTCCTGTCATAATATGTTCGGGAGGTACTGGACAGTAGTGGATTTGTAACACGAACTAGTAGAAATCATCCACTGAAACATTTACTTGTGATATTCTGTTTCATGTATGCTTAAAATCTGGATAATGACTACTCATTCTTTAGAAGATGTTAAATAAGTGAATCGAGTGAATGAATTTTAGAGAAACTGTCTTTTTGAGAATTCGTTCTTAGTCCTTATCATGTGTATATCCTTACTCGCTCCGCTCCTACGATATGTTTGCCGACGCATATTGAATGCTGAACTTTACTTTTGCTATACTTTGGTCGTTGCCTGTTTTAGAAGAGTTTTTTCTCTGTTATACGCTGTATAAGTCCAGAACCCAAAATTTTGGTTTTATTTAAAAATTTCTACGAACGATTGCTCGGATACGTATATGTATATATATGTGTATATATATGCGTATATATATATGTATATATACATATATATATATATATATATATATATATGTATACCTTATACTGCAAAAGTTCATGTAAAACACAACATGTGGATGCAGAAGACGGCTCAACATTTTCGTTACAGAAAGGTATAGCCACCGCTGCTGGAGCCATCCCTGAGGTGTCGACAAACGATGCTTCATCGTCCTTCCATACTGTACGTACTTCCAGTAATTGGTTAGTTTTCCCTTTTTTTTGGTGGGTGAGGAAGGAAGAGGAAAATGTAGTGAAGATTCATTATCACAAAAATTTAATGGAAAATATCAAACTGAGATTTTCAAGTGAAGGCGATCGAGAGACCGAGCGCAACATGTCTTTGCTCTGCTGATTGGCTGTCGTTGTTTTCGCGTCGTCTCCGAGAATTTTAAACACATGGGTACAGTGCACGCAGGTCGATTTGGATATATTTTGTTTTATTGTGTTAAATAGAACTTGAAGCAACTCAAGCTTGCAGCAGTTTTGTTTATATATATGTATGTATATACGTCTGTATATGCATATGTACACATATATGCATATGTACATGTGTATATATGTGTGTATATATAAGTACATATATACAATATATAAATTTTGAAGAAACTGGCTATCCTGTTTTGGAGAATTTGCTTTCAATCCTTATCATGTAAATATCATTACTCGCTTCTATATACACATATATTACTATTCGCTCCTACATATATATATACATATATATATATATATATAT